GCGTGTAGTGGCTTGGTTTGGAATCGGTGTCATAAAGCCACTCGTCGGAAGTATCTAACGTGCTTCAAAGACAATACATACAGTTAGCCACTCCAGCGTTAGTGATCTGCTTTCTTCCCACGAAATTGTGGTCGTTAATTCTTCCTTGAAAGACGATGGGCGAGCGACCCAGCAGAGATCCGAACTGACGATTATTCAAGAGGAAATTCGCAGTTCATCGATTAAAGTATTAATGCGTTTCATTCGTAGTATATCTTGTTATTATTCAAAGACACAGTAGTTCGTTCGTGGTCATACTGAAAAACGGCACAAAACACGGTTTATTACTAAACAACGCAAATTATAGTATGGTGAATCGGATCAATGACCACTACCTACGTTTCGGCCTTCTTCCAGGTAGAAGGTTGACAGAGTTTCTGAGGATTTTACCGCTGTCCACAGCGGTTGGTAGGCTTGGGATCAGAGACCATATTACTTTTGGCATTGCTTATTAAAAAACTGTGTTGTACGCAGTTCTTCAGTTGTTGTCATTCGAAAATATGAGTTAAGCTTGATTACTTATTACTGGAGTAATAAAAGTCGGACTCGGCGTCCGTAACGGAATGCAGCAAATTGACTTTCTGTTGCAAGTCGTGCTTCAACTGCGTGACCTTGTCCGTAGCCAGCGTCAGCTCCTGTTCCAGCATTTCGTTCGTCTGTTGCAGATCGCGGTTCTTGTCCAGCAACGTTTTGCCGATTTTAGCCGCCAGCTCCAAATCCTTCTCGCGCTGTAAAAAACAAAACGTCTCTTATAGGTGAAAATATGCACTGAACGCACAACGAACAAAAACCACGTCTAAAATATTGCAATCCAGCGACGAACGGCCAGACAACATTGGCATCATCAGAGTGAATAGATGGGCATCACTGCCCACTGAACTGCATGTATGCATGAAACATTGTTTTTTGTTTGTCTTGACGAAAGTCATTTCTGTCTAGCCTGAACGCTGTCCTAACGTAAAAATCCAAATTATCGGCCGCTAGCTGCGCCCAAAACCGTAGAATTATGGCGACACAGGAAGAAGAAGAAGACAAGGACTAGCGCGAATTATCGAGTCATAATTGATACACCTCGTTGCAACTAGCACATTCTTTTCCTTGTTATTTACAATACAATAGGATGAAACTCATCGACTACTGTGAACGCCAATAATCGCAACATCGGAACTTTACCATATTTTGAAATTGAGAACAGAATTAAACCTAGAGGCGATTATCCGCCAAGGAGGCATGTTGAGAATTTCGTTAGTCTCTTTTCAAGGATACGAAATCAACATGAAAATTGGCTTTCAGGTTCATAATTAAAGTAATATTCTCCTAAAAGTATGTATTTTTACGACATGACGAAATCTGTCATTCAATCGTCGCTGTCGGCATATTTCTCTACTGCTTTCGGGCACATAAAAAATTTTATTCAGCTATCATGGCAGTGAAGGAAAATGTACCCCTCAGCAATATACGTGGATATGTGACGTTTCAGCGTTACTAGTTTCCCATTACGTGCACGCAAATTTAATTTTATGGAAAACAATATAATCACAACAGAGGAAAAGATTCGCAGTGCTAACTACTGAAGAAAGCATAATGAAACCATTCATCGTCATTCAGCCAACATTTACCTTCGGCGATGAGAATGACGCCTCAAGCAGAATCTAACAGGAACATGGTACCTCAGGCTAAACATCTGATCCAAATAAAGACCAAAAAAGTCTCTTTTTAGCTTTGCCATCGACATCACACATACATGATTACTAAAATATTTACCACCAATTGTTAAAACCTCACAGGACTAACATCACTCTGAAAGTTCGACTGTTTAATATACTGGTATATGTCACCAACAGGTGGCTTACTAAAATCCAGTTTTCTCAACCTGTATGTAAATGCATAATTATGTATGTACAGCCGGTTTTGCCGCAGCAAAGTTCGACGAAATTACACGAGAGAAACTAATCGAAGACCTACATAAAACTGTCAGGATAAAGGCAGATGACTTCGAGGGCAAATTGCCAAATCCTGTTTACCAAAGTAAAGAAGGACGACGTCTGGTACCAAAGTCCAAAACCGTTCCTTCGAA